TCTTGATATCTGNAAAAGATACAAATTAAAATTGTAATAATCACATTAGCAATGACAACGACTCGGTGTTAAGGAAAGAAAAAATCTAGGTTGACTGGATGGACGTTACGATCTTTCCCGTTCCTGACGTGCACGTTGCGCCAATTAATATTTGGTTAAAACATTATTATTGATTGCCTAAAAAATAAATAAGAAACATATATTATTGTGAATAATAAGTAACTTTTTTAAAAATTAATTAAGTCTTGAATGGGCAAATGACCAATCATACCACTTGGTCATCTGTATTTTCTTTTCCGTCGACAGAACAATTTGCTTTTTCTTTTCCTTTATAGCTAGCATTCACCATCGTGTTTCACTTTTTTTTTATCTAAGCAAACAATTTGAATTAGTCATAAACATATATTTAATATTATGTGTGAATATTACAAACACGTGAATGTTGGAGATTTGTAAAAGGAAAAAAAAATAATGCAATCCAAGTTTTTGTGTCAAGAGACAGGCATTATTTATGAATTGATCCAACGAATTATTGGNTAAAGAGACAGGCATTATTTATGAATTGATCCAACGAATTGTTGGAGCACAACCATTTATGATTTGTTGTTTTCATGTTGTTCACTAAATATTGAATTTCTATAATTCGTGTTCATAGTAATATTTTTAGTTTTATATCATTCTTTGTGTTGTTCACTAAATATGAATTTAATCTTGTATATTTTAAATGTTAAACATGTTTTATTTAATATATCTTGATATCTAAGTTGTCCAATAACTTGAATTTAATCATGTATATTTTACATGTTAAGCATATTTTATTTATTATATAGATTTTTTGCAAGTTATATTTTTTTTATTGATTATGAAAAAAACAAAATCGACTATTAAATTTGTATAATTTGAGTTTGTACTAGTGTTTTTAATTTTATATCATTCTTCTCGATTATTTATATTCTTAGTATATTTTCTTAAACTAAACGTTATTTAGTATTGAATTATTTAGTAAAAATTGTTGTTTCGTGTTGTTCACTAAATATTGAATTTTTATGATTCATGTTCATAATATTGCTTATAATTTTATATTATTTCTCTCGCTTGTAATTTTGTATTATTTTTCTCAGGTATGTAGATTTAGATTATTTAATAAATATTGTTGTTTTGTGTTGTTCACTAAATATCAAATTTTTATAATATTTAGTTTATCGTGTCTTCAGACATTGGTCATATTGTTAATATTAAGACTTGACAATGTTCATTGAGTTCTCTTCAATATTATATTTTGTTCACCAACAAAGTGAATTTTGAATTTTGTTTTGAAATTTAATTATCAATGAAATTGAATTTATATGATTCGTGTTTATAGTATTGCTTGCGTGAAAATAAATTGAATAACAAATAATCCTTACAGTATAGGATTCATCGGGCATACATGGAAAACAATATAACCAATGTCAAAATAAAATTTTGAGCATAAATTAATGAACAATTAACAAATGAAAAAAAATTAAGCAAATAATGTCAAATTCAAAACAAAACTCACTTTACACCTTGAACAAAATGAAATATTGAAAAAAATTTAATGAACAGTGCTAACACAACACACCTTGCACTTGAACATATCACCAATGTCAAAAAATTAAATCTTATATTAAAATTCAAAACAAAACGCACCTTGAACTTGAATAGAATAAAAAATTTAGCAGCACCAAATTTATCCCAATGCAGTGAATTTTTAGCAGCAAGAATTCAATTCGTCGAACTCCCGAACCCAAATTACAAAAAACTTGTCCACCAAAAANAAAATTTAGCAGCACCAAATTTATCCCAATGCAGTGAATTTTTAGCAGCAAGAATTCAATTCGTCGAACTCCCGAACCCAAATTACAAAAAACTTGTCCACCAAAAATCAATAATGTTATAAACAAAAGGAAACATTAGAATTTAATGTAAATATTGAAAAAAAATTAGATAATTTTGGTGAGAATAGGAAAACATGCTTGCAATAAAAACAGAACACGATCAACTAGAAAAGAAAATTAAAAATTTAAGCTAATAATTTCTTGCAAACTAAAATTAGAACACGGTCAGGGAAAAATGCTTGCAACCCAAATGAATCTTAATGTCTATGGCCATAATTGACTACAACAACAAAAAAAAATTTAGTATCATGTCACTTATTATTGTTTAGAATATAATATATTATTTTTTGGTGTAATTTACTAACTTTTAAGGTGCAATTATTTTTTGGGTTTACTTAACATTTTTTTACTTAAAATTTATTACTTTTTGAATAAAATTTAGGATAAATTTCATCCCCCACCCCCTTATAAATAAGCCTAACTTTCATCAACACCCCCACTGATTTTAAAATTTCACTTCACTATCTTATAGTTTTTATGTTTATTTTAATTAAACAATTAAACCCCCTTGTTGTGAGAAACCATCACTGACAACTAAAAAAGTGCTAATGCCATCTTATTTTCTTTCAAAAATATCAATTTTACCTATTTCTTCTTCGCACCATTTCACCTCACATGTCCTTCTATTTACACACATTGTTGCACCACCACAATACTGTAGACTCCACGGCCCCTTCCCTACTAGATCGTCAACAAATAGCCTCTAACACCATCATTATGCACCACTACAATTCATCAAATAAAAAACAATGGTTTTTTACCCAATATTTTGTTGATTACCATTGCGCATAGCCACTGAAAATTCACTGCATTAGGGTAAAGGCACAAAGGCAAACAAACAGGCAAGCACCAAATGTTTTGTCCAGAAAAATAAAAAATCTAAATAGAAAAATAGTCATCATCATTAAAAAAAAATTTTGTCCGTGTTTGAGAGAAGAATCCAATCGCAAATGTTGAATTATAAAATGAATTTAATTATTGTTATGAAGTAGATGACACCCAAAATTTGGTGTTGGACTATATAAAAAGGAATCCACTAGAATTTAAAGGAAACTACTGGAATTCAAGGAAGCCACTGAAATTTAATAAATACTTGGCAACTCATCTATATGTTGGGCTATATAAAAAAAAAGAAAAAAAAAAGATACAAACTGGTAACTCATCGAACAGTTGGTGTGCAGGGGAACAAAACAGGAGGAAGCAGAAAAAAATCAAAACAGAAAAAAATTAGAACAGAAAAAAAATCAGAACATGACATACCTGAGAGAAGTAAGTAGCAACGACTGAGGGAAGAGACCCAAGCAGGCAGGGAGAGCCTGCCAAGCAGAATAGGTAGAGAGATAGAGAGCAACGACTGAAAGTTTTTTATTATGATTTTGGCAAGCCATTAGGGCATAAATTGGGTGAGATTTTTCAGAGATATGCATCAAATTTGGAAAAGAGTGAATTACGTGAGAGTTATTTTGGGCAATGAATTTTTTTGGGGAGTCAGGTGCGTAATTTTTGGAGTTCAAAATATGTCTAATTTGTGATGCAAAGTGGGTCTGTGAGTGAAAGGGGTAGAAAGAGCAAAAATGTATTTTTTTTTTTTTTGTGTGTGCGTGTAATGGATGAGAGAGGACATTGGCTTTACGGAGGATAGAGGGAGAGATAGGAGATTTGGGGAATCACAGACCTTCTCATATGGAAAGGAGATTGCAGAGATCACAATGAGAGACAATAGAGAGTGGCGTAACATTAGGGACAAAATTGGGATGAACAATTAATTATTAGAAGTTAATTTTAAAAATTAAAAATTTTGAGCGTCAATAAGGCTTTCGAGAGTTATTCTGATACGTCGGATCAAAACAATTTGAAATATCAATAGCTCAAGACAGTTTAAAATAGCGCAATCCGTTGAATGATGTCTTTTTTGATTTCGAAACGATCTACCCCGTTCTTTATGTTTAAAATTCAAATTCATTCTAATTTATTATACAGATAACATAGGGTTGGGCCGGGGCGATTCGGATCGTGGCGTACTGGATTCTGTCATGTCTACTTGTGTCGTCTTCGTCTTCGAACATTCTCTCTCCTCCAGCATCGACGCGCTGTGTTCTTTTTCTCATAATAAAATTACGAAATCATCCTCCACCCACTTTGGTCTCCTCCTTTTCTTTATCTAGCTGAGCTGCCCCCCATCTTGCTTCAAATTTTGAATCCTCCTTCCTACACGAGTACACTGTACACTGTACACCACCAGGGCGAACCCTTACTTTTCAGTATGGACCGAATTACCCTTTTTAGTTAGTCCCATAAATAATGATTCAATTGAGAGTCAGTAAACAGTTGGCAGGCACAAATTGCATCATCTCTTTTATTAGAGGTTCTATATCTATCCTCCAATAATAATATTCTAATCAACACTCAGCAAGTAAGTTACCACTAACCTAATACTCTGCTTCATTAAAACTCATGTTGAAAACAAGAAAGAACTGACTTGGAATGATTAATATTTAGAATAGAATAATTATTAGATATGGACTATTAAAACTAAGTCATATAAATAATTCTCCTCTCCTCCTTTGAATTTGTTCATAACCACATCAAAGCAACCCCTTTCAAAATTGGCAGTTGCAACAATAAAAGAGCCATAAAAAGGTTTGTCAAAAGACATGTTATTGTAGAGTTAGTCATCTATATATTGCAATAGTGGTGTTCAACATGTTAAAGGCAGATGTAAATTTATTCACATAACCCAAAACGACAGAGGAGATATTAGTAATTAGCAATATGAGTTGCAAAAGAGGGCACTCGTTGTAGTGAAAGCTGTTGTGACTTTTGTCTTACTATTATTTATGCAGTAATGCTATATTGATCAAATTTTGAGATTAAATTTAAAATTAAAATAACATGACAGCTGATTATTAAGAGTTTTTATTAGGGTTCAAATGACATAACACCAATGAAAGAAGTTCAAGTCAATTACCATATCATTTAAACTCTAAATTTGATCTAAAATTTAATCAGTATAGCATTCCTCTTATTTATAATATCTTCAGATGAAGCGATGAAATCCAATATAATTACAACTTGGCCCATATCTCACCTCACTGTTTGTAGTTAGGGAGTTGATCTGACGATATCCCCTAACTGGTTCAAGACAATCGAGTACCCCTAACGTTGTTCTGCTTTTCGCTGTAATCTTTTCTTCGGAATCCTACTCTTCTCTCCAATGGAATCCGTCACAAGTTCGCTCTCTCTTCTGGCACAATCGTAAGGCCACCCAAGCTTTTGTGGGTCGTTTGGGACAATGGGGTTGATGCTGGGTACCAGACCACCGCACAAGGGTGGCAATGGTATCTCTACTCGATGGGTATCCGTCTTCTGCATTGCTAGCTTCTGCTTGGGAGTCCTAGTTATCAACAGGTCCTTCCACTACTCCCTCTCATTATTATTGTTTTCTTCAGTAAAAATGCTTAGGGTATTCTCATAAAATGATCATCTTGTAGTTTTCAGGATCTCGATTGTTCAGTAATTTTTAGTGGTTAGTTACACTTTCCCAGGTCAGATTTTTACAATCCAACACTTAAATTTAGTGGAGGCTTTTTGGTTCGGCCCCTTGATTTTTTCCCCGTCCTGGACATGAGCCTTTGATATCTGAATCCCAGGGCTTTGTCTCCGAACCCATGTTTATAAGTTTGGATTTTACGCAATTCTATGTTGTTAATTTACTTCACTAAATTTGCGTTGCTTTGGGTTACTATTTGCTGGATGGTTGTTTACTTCGACCAACCCTTTTGCTCTCTCTCTCTCTCTCCCCCCAAACCAATGAATTAAATTGCTTGCCCACGAAGCTCATGAATAAGGATCATGGGGACTTTTGGTCAAATTCTTGCAATTAGTTCTTGTTTGTTCTGTTCTTTCCCCCTTTTACTTATGTAAAAACCTATAACTGGAAACAAAGGGTGATCTCACTTGAAATCAATAATCAAACCACCCTTTTTTTTTTAACTTTTTCTTTACCAGGAGGATCTTCTCCAAGACAGGACTTTTGGACCCATCGCTTTGACAAAAAATTCCGAATACCAACAATGACCACAAGTCATGGATAAGCCCAAAGATACCAGCAAGAGTCGAATACATTCAAGCATAAGGCTCGCCCTAGAGTCAACTTCACACCACTGTTTTTTTTTTTTCTTAGTACTTTTCAACTTATTTCTCAAACAGCGGTAGTTTTCATGAAAGCATGGTTTCTCAATGTAGAATGATATTTGCAAAGCACGCTTTTGGAAAATAAACTGGAAACCATGTTATATGGAAACTAAAGTTCCAAAATCTCACTTTTGTACATATATAGGTTGTGATCAAGTCTAGCCATAATCCGTATCTTAAACTAGGCGAAGATATTTTGTAATTGCTAGAAATTGGTGAGTGCCTCTACATGCATCATATACTATACAGTTGTTATGTGTTTTGGTGATGTAAGATTTATTAGATGAATGCATGTGTTGCATAAGTCTCTATCAGTTTAAATTTTTAGAGTAGATGGTGATTTAACATGATATTAAAGTCTAGAGGCTTCAGTTTAAATCTCAACAAACCTTCTCACTTACTAAAAAACAATAAAAACATTGTCGCGTGAATGGACCACCAAAGGAACTGAAGACCCTAGACTTTGATATCATGTTGAACTACCATCTACTCTAAAGTTTAAATCCCAACAAACCTCCTCACTTTCTAAAAAACAATAAAAACAATGTCACATGAATGGACCACCAAAGAGGGGTCCACACGTGTGGGAGTATTAGATAGATATATATCTTACACTTCTCTTTATGGGTTTAAACTTTTAGAGTAGATGTTGGTTAAACAGGATTGGAGGATTGTTTTACCACTTTAATCTTCTATAATTATGAATACAACTAATATAGATTACTCATTATTGCCTTTGAGAACCAATATTAGTTTTATAATACTCTGTATTAGCTTTATCTTATCTCTGGGATCAATGTTAATGTAGTTTCTAATCTCCTGAAAGTCTGAGGCCAAGTCATATGTAATGACTACTAGAGATTGTTTTTGTGATTTATGACAATTTTCATTCATTTACTTAACCCTGGTAAGTATAGCTAGCATTTTTTACTTAACCCTGATAAGTATAGCTAATATTTATCAATGTCATACTTTTTGATTGAAACTAAAATCCCAAGCAATGGATTTGTAAATTATCATTTTAGATATTGTTGCAAGTTGTAGATTATTCCGCTCTCTTAATCCTCAGCTACGAACATACTGGGATCCAAACTCTGAGTTGGGTGAAGAGATAACTCTAGTGATTACATCTTAGTATTCTCACAAAATAATATTTCCTCATAACATCACTTGTGACATATCATCCTCGAATTGGGTTGGAAAACATGTTCTTACCAATGTCTGATGATTTCATATTTTTCTCTTTTGTTAATGAGGATAAGAAGCATAACCCAAGGTTGGAACACGACGTAGTAATAAGTGTCATTATATTGGTTTAAATGTGCATTTTTCTTGAATGTAAGATCTTGTAAAAGTAGATGTTGTCCTATCCCATGCTATCTGATATGTGGGGAATTTGAGGGCCATCATCAAGGTAAACCTCATTGCTACAGCCACGAGGGCCGGGTGGGGGGAGGAGGCAATGCACTGTGTGTGCATTCATGACACATCATAGCAACTTTTCTCTATTTGATTGTTAGTGATGAGCTTAGATTCTAAGGTTGAGACTGGAAAGTCAATTTGAAGGGAGAATGGATTAGCATGTGGATTTTTTATTCTTTTGATGGTTTTTTAGACCAATTTTGCCGAATGAAAGTTAATTTTAGAATTTTTGATAGCCATGCAAAATAAGAAAACAAATAGTGTTGCTATAACTTTATAGATGCAAAATATTATTTTGCAACAAGCTGTTACCTTTTGACCATGATGTTTTGGTTGTTGCTTGACTACTAAAACCTAGGTAACTTGCAACAATTACTATGTTGTGAACTGTAGTTACATATGGCCTCATTTTTTATTTGTATTTTGTTCTGACACAGTTCTTGTCTTGACCCTAGGAAATGTCATTTGTTGAATAAACATGTGGCATATGTCATATGGTATCAATTTTATTTTCTTTTATTTTTTGGGGGTGGGGGATGGGGATGGGGATGGGGAAGGGGAAGGGGAAGGGGAGGGGAGAAAGAGGCGTGAACTTTTGACTTCAAGAAGACAAAGCCTTCACAAGGTAAGGAGTACCATTAGATCAAAGGCCCATTGGTATATGGTATCAATTAGGCCTGCATCTATCCAGGGTTTTTGCCTCGGTGGAAGTCATATACCAAAGATGTGTATGGTTGCAGGCACTTGTGTGGCGCTGTTGTTGGATTATGTGGGCATCTTGTGGTAATTTTAGCTCATTTAGTAAGGTTGTGTACATTTGATCCAATGTTGGAGCTTTGTGCGCTGGGTTGCCCATTTTAGGGTTATGGTTTGCTATTTGTACACCCCTCATGGATGCCAAATCATTTGCATTGTCACCCTTTTAAATCCTAGGAACCTTTCCAATTTTCTAATTTCGATCAACTAGGTCAACTTACACAACATATTATCTATTGTTCACACGCTTTGTTAGAATTCTCATATATGTAGCTATGTCTTGTAGTTGTACTTGAATGTGCTCTGATGAGCTATTTATGACTTGTTCATAGGTTTTGGACTACCACTGAATCAGTCAAAATGGATGAGGCTTTATCCGTGGACAAACATAAATCAGGAGAACTTCAGCCTGTTGTTAAGTGTGAGAAGAAGGCAAGTTGCATGGGTGATTTGTTTTTGGCCTCATGACCTCCACTTGTGTATCTAGATAATTTTACTGTGTTAATGCAGGAGGCTTCAGTCGAGGCAGGGGACATCCTTTCTCAAGTTTCCCAAACTCATGATGTAATCATGTAACTTTCTGCATCCAGCTTAATTTATACAGTTTCCAATTTTGTCGCAATCTTGCTATTGTTTTTCTCATTTCTTTCATCCTGAAACTTCAATTATGGATATATTTTTTGATGGTCTTATGCTGCACTCTTCTAACAAAATTTTCAGGACTTTAGACAAGACCATCTCTTCGCTGGAAATGCAGCTTGCTGCAGCTAGAGCTGCTAAAGCCGACAATGAGAAACGATCTTCAGAGAAAGCAAATCCAAGAAATGAGCAAATAAATGAGCGCCAAAAGGTTTTCTTTGTCATGGGAATCATTACTGCATTTAGCAGCAGAAAGCGCAGGGATTCAATCAGAGAAACTTGGATGCCTCAAGGTTCGATTTTTTAGTGTGAAAATGTTCTCTCCCATTAACCTTGGATGGCTCTAGACCTAACCCAGTTTCCCAATCTTTTGTTTTATAAACCAGGGAAGGATTTGAGGAAGCTGGAGAAAGAGAAGGGAATTGTAATACGTTTTGTAATAGGGCACAGGTAGCTTGTTCTTAAAGTACTTGAGATTGAAGATATGACTTGCTTAAGGGCCATGGTTTCTGTAAGTTGATGGATTGATCTATATGTTCTGCAGTGCAACACCAGGTGGAGTTTTAGATCGTGCTGTTGATGCCGAAGATGAACAACATAAAGATTTTTTGCGACTAGTGCGTTACTGTGTTATATTTCCAACTACCTACTACCGTAACATTGATTACCACATTGTTATACATGTTTCTACAAAAAATTATTAGCTTTCCAGTTGGTGGCTATTGTTCTTTAGATTTAACGTTAGGTCTATTTCCAGCTTCAAATGCAAATTAAAATGGACTATGTTTTGTTATCAAATATTCTAAACATATTTTGAGCTGGTTGCATCTTGCATGGTCTAATGGTCAGGAAGAGAACTTAATTCTTAGAACAGTTTGGAGAGCTTTTCTTAACGGCCAGAGTTTTATGGTTTGTGACAAAGCTCAATTCACATATTTAAATTTATATGTGTTTTCTCTGTTGCAGAACCATGTAGAAGGATACCATGAATTGTCCTCAAAAACCCAAATCTACTTTTCAACAGCCGCTGCAAAGTGGGATGCTGACTTTTATATTAAAGTTGATGATGATGTGCATGTCAATCTTGGTAAGCATGATAATATCTCAACTCTCCAAAAGCCCGAACTCTTTATGGTCAGATGCAAATGTGGGGGGCGTTGATTTGATTAATAATCTTGACAGGTATAGTCGGTTCTATCTTGGCCCGTCATCAGTCAAAACCTCGTGTCTATATCGGTTGTATGAAGTCTGGACCTGTTTTGGTACAGAAGTAAGACCGTGAAATCTTGTGACATATTTTGAATTGCGGGTTACTCGTTTCATACTCTACCATGCATGCAGAGGAGTCAAGTATCACGAACCAGAATACTGGAAATTTGGAGAGGAGGGAAATAAGTACTTTAGGCATGCAACTGGACAAATATATGCGATCTCCAAAGATCTGGCGACCTATGTTTCAGCTAATCGGTAGATCCTTGTCTCAAGATATTTTCATGTTTTTTTGTAAATTTAATCTGTTTATTAATGAGGATTTTCTCTGTAGACATATACTTCATAGGTTTGCAAATGAAGATGTCTCTCTTGGTTCTTGGTTTATTGGTCTTGATGTTGAGCATATTGATGAACGAAGCCTGTGCTGTGGTACCCCACCAGGTATAATATTTTTCAATATGTACTTCAATTCTGTGAGTTGTCATCAATCTCACTCCGTGTGTCTTGATCTGTGAGAGCAGTCAAATATCTGCTCTCACAAAATTTTTATTCCACTGTAGTTATTTAGATTCAAGTTGGTATTCTTCAACATATTTGCAATTAACATTGATGTTTAAAGGCTAACTTGGACCAACAAGAGCCATTGATACACCAGTGACATAATTACTGGGACATAAGTGTAAAGAATCATATAAGAAACGTAGTGGAATTTTTTTTTAAAAAAAAAAATTCGATTCCTCAGTCCAAGGTTTATTCATGCTTAATACAAACCGGGAACCCTGATCAATGGAGAAGAGTAAGGGTTACCTCTTGAATTGTGTTTATAATATTCTTCAAAGTTTTTTTCAAGGAGTCTTGCTCTTTAAATTTAAATCTGATCACTCCAAGACTCACAATTGTTTGGCCTCTATTGTCACACGAATGGACAAATTTGAAGCAAGAGTGTGTAGTTATCATCCTCCTCCTCCTCTATGAGGGNGACAAATTTGAAGCAAGAGTGTGCTAGCAAGAGTGTGTAGTTATCATCCTTCTCCTCCTCTATGAGGGTATTTATAGAGCCTTAGAAGACCTCAGTCCTAATTTGATNGGCAAATTTGAAGCAAGAGTGTGTAGTTATCATCCTCCTCCTCCTCTATGAGGGTATTTATAGAGCCTTAGAAGACCTCAGTCCTAATTTGATTCTAATTGCAATTATCCCATAATTACACAACGGCCCATTTTATTAACCATTAATTGTAACGCAAGCCCTAATTAACTCTTAATTAGGTTTTCACTTCAATTAACTCTTAATTGATTTTTTCTTATTTATCTCTTAATTTTCAATCTATTGTGTGTGACCCAATAAGTTCAAACATATCCGGTCGTAGGCATTAGACACTAACTTCAAATAGCATCTCAAATCGAAACTCATTCTAATTTTGTTTGAATTAGAACTCTTCTAATTCTTCCTTTATGAAGAACATTATATATTCATATTATNTCAAATCGAAACTCATTCTAATTTTGTTTGAATTAGAACTCTTCTAATTCTTCCTTTATGAAGAACATTATATATTCATATTATTTTGTTCTTCGGGCTTCTAATAATCATAAATGATACCTAGTAGCATATCATAATTAACCCCGAATAGCACGAAGTAGGTAAATAATTCATTCAGTCTATAGTTATCATGGAATTCAAATCTTTCTATCATACAATGCCCCAATTGAATCACTAGGATATGGAATTACTATATTCTTAACATTTTGAGAAACTATCTTCTTAATTTATCCTCTATAGACTATATCATGTATATCAAAATAAAATAAAGCAGAAACATGATAAATACACTTGTCCTTTTATTTAATTAAATAATGAAATGTTACTAGTACAATCCCAAAATATCATCTGTATGATTGGTCTTAGCGTATACTACTAACATTAAGTTCCTCACAATACGAACTTTGCCTAGTGTATAAGTCTAATATGGAGTTTGTGCTTGGATTTATGTAAAGCTGAACCTAGCTAACATGCTAACATGTGTCTAGGTTTTGGACTTGGGGTTGGGACTGTTTTAAAATGAATCCCAACTTGACCTTTAGTTGGGTTGGGCCTAGGTTGAGTTGAGTTCTATGACAGCATACCAAACACGAATTCAATCAGCCATAAGCTTATAAAATGCACCATAATTATGCTTTTAGTGTCAAACACTAATGACTATATTTTAACAACCAAACATGTTTTACCGGAATTGATCGTCCATACTCTCTAACATAAATTCAGCAGCAGACGGAAAGTATGACTACTTTTAGTTGATGACAAATCCCAGTTCAGAAAAACAAAAGGGAAAATGTCGGTGATAATGTTTGTTAATTGGCTGACCTGACCATAAATGAGCTTGAATTGGACATTTCAAATCTTTGGTAAGTAGGGTTGGGACTTTGGGCAGTGAGCAACCTCATCAACTTTTCTTCTTTGGCTTGGACTGGCTGAATCCAATCCAAACCTATTGGTTGGTGTTGAAGCCTTGGTAGGGATATATATCTTTCTGCCTGTTTACACCATCATTATTGCCACTCTACATTTTCTGCTGATTTACTAAACAGAGTTAAGTATGTAGNTCTAATATGGAGTTTGTGCTTGGATTTATGTAAAGCTGAACCTAGCTAACATGCTAACATGTGTCTAGGTTTTGGACTTGGGGTTGGGACTGTTTTAAAATGAATCCCAACTTGACCTTTAGTTGGGTTGGGCCTAGGTTGAGTTGAGTTCTATGACAGCATACCAAACACGAATTCAATCAGCCATAAGCTTATAAAATGCACCATAATTATGCTTTTAGTGTCAAACACTAATGACTATATTTTAACAACCAAACATGTTTTACCGGAATTGATCGTCCATACTCTCTAACATAAATTCAGCAGCAGACGGAAAGTATGACTACTTTTAGTTGATGACAAATCCCAGTTCAGAAAAACAAAAGGGAAAATGTCGGTGATAATGTTTGTTAATTGGCTGACCTGACCATAAATGAGCTTGAATTGGACATTTCAAATCTTTGGTAAGTAGGGTTGGGACTTTGGGCAGTGAGCAACCTCATCAACTTTTCTTCTTTGGCTTGGACTGGCTGAATCCAATCCAAACCTATTGGTTGGTGTTGAAGCCTTGGTAGGGATATATATCTTTCTGCCTGTTTACACCATCATTATTGCCACTCTACATTTTCTGCTGATTTACTAAACAGAGTTAAGTATGTAGCAAAAGAATGCTAGTTCCCTGGAATTTTCTGCCCTAGCTAGATATAGTTTGGCATTTAAATGTTAGATCTAAAGAACATAACTCTGAGATTACTGTCAACCCCATAAAAAATAATAAATGGAGCCATGCATGTTCATCATGCCTTTTTTTTTTTTTGTGTTTTTTGGTCTTGCAAATAGATTGTGAGTGGAAGGCTCAAGCAGGGAACCCTTGTGCGGCATCATTTGATTGGAGCTGTAGTGGCATCTGCAAATCGGTGGAGAGAATGGAGGAGGTTCACCAGCGCTGTGGAGAGGGGGATGGAGCAATCTGGCATACTAGTTTTTGAAACCACCTTCAATTGGTTGTATTATGTTTGTGCAATGTGTAATCATGTGAATGGTTAGAGCACACCATCTGCCCCATTTTTTCTCATTGTGTCTCGGGACGGCTGGTTGATCATTTAGTTTTTGACTGCTCACACGGACTCTGATTAGAGAAAAGAAATGAATGAATTCTTTAGTTTACAGTTGAATTATAGGTGTTTTATTTTTCTACTTCTAAAGCCTACCAACTCGACAGCCAAACCTAAATTTTATTTGCCAGGTATTCTACCCTAGAGCCAAATCCTTGTGTTCCTCTCAAAAGTTGTTAATGGTTTTGGGCTTTATCTTGTGTTGGCTGCATAGTGACCAAAGGAGAAAAAGACATTGCAGACTTGAATAAGAACCTAAAAGGTGCAGTGGGGGAATGGGATGGTGAGAATAGCTAAAGTAACTTGCTGGAGTCTTTAATGAGTTTGGAGTAAATTGGGATCAAAATCTGAAAGAAACCAAGTCTTTTCATAAGAGATTTTGGGCATGCAGGAAATATCGTTCGGAGTTGAATCGCTTTTGAAACACCCAATTTTGGTGGGTTTGCAGCTCAATTATTGATAAACTTTGAAATTATTTAACCAAAAAGGAAAAAAAGAAAATTCTTTACTCTTTGATTTAGTTTCCTGTGCTAATTTAAAATGTGTGACAAAAGACTACCAGTACCAGGCAACGTTTCTATACTATGTTAAATCATTTAAAGGAGGTAGGCCAGTTTTGGACGGTGCTTGGCCGGAATATGTCACTATGGCCGTCCTTCAAACCTTAATAATGCCCACTAAAATTGTTGGCAACCAATCATATATAATAGAAGTTTCTGGACTGTTAGGCGGAAGTGATGTAGTAGTAGATGAGAGTGACGGGTGGGGTGGCTGGTCATTTCTGGACGGAGATCTAGCTGTTAGTTAGTTGCAGCTCATTTCTTTTTTTTTTTTCAACTACATACTCTATCATATATTTTTGATTTGAGAGGCCGGCCCACATTTTAATCGTGTACTTGTAATTTGATTTGGCTAAAGTAACGGGACCGTGGACTGCATTATCTTGGAAAATCAAAAGTTGTTCAAAATTCTCAGTTTTTGAGGAATTTGTATCACCCTTGTAATTTTGTAAGGGACCGACTATGTTTCAAACGTTCAATAATAATCAATAATTAAAAAAATGAATTATTTATTTTTTTACAATAATATTTTATGCCTTTTCAAGAAGACAAAGCCTTCACAAGGTAAGGAGTACCATTAGATCAAAGGCCCATTGGTATATGGTATCAATTAGGCCTGCATCTATCCAGGGTTTTTGCCTCGGTGGAAGTCATATACCAAAGATGTGTATGGTTGCAGGCACTTGTGTGGCGCTGTTGTTGGATTATGTGGGCATCTTGTGGTAATTTTAGCTCATTTAGTAAGGTTGTGTACATTTGATCCAATGTTGGAGCTTTGTGCGCTGGGTTGCCCATTTTAGGGTTATGGTTTGCTATTTGTACACCCCTCATGGATGCCAAATCATTTGCATTGTCACCCTTTTAAATCCTAGGAACCTTTCCAATTTTCTAATTTCGATCAACTAGGTCAACTTACACAACATATTATCTATTGTTCACACGCTTTGTTAGAATTCTCATATATGTAGCTATGTCTTGTAGTTGTACTTGAATGTGCTCTGATGAGCTATTTATGACTTGTTCATAGGTTTTGGACTACCACTGAATCAGTCAAAATGGATGAGGCTTTATCCGTGGACAAACATAAATCAGGAGAACTTCAGCCTGTTGTTAAGTGTGAGAAGAAGGCAAGTTGCATGGGTGATTTGTTTTTGGCCTCATGACCTCCACTTGTGTATCTAGATAATTTTACTGTGTTAATGCAGGAGGCTTCAGTCGAGGCAGGGGACATCCTTTCTCAAGTTTCCCAAACTCATGATGTAATCATGTAACTTTCTGCATCCAGCTTAATTTATACAGTTTCCAATTTTGTCGCAATCTTGCTATTGTTTTTCTCATTTCTTTCATCCTGAAACTTCAATTATGGATATATTTTTTGATGGTCTTATGCTGCACTCTTCTAACAAAATTTTCAGGACTTTAGACAAGACCATCTCTTCGCTGGAAATGCAGCTTGCTGCAGCTAGAGCTGCTAAAGCCGACAATGAGAAACGATCTTCAGAGAAAGCAAATCCAAGAAATGAGCAAATAAATGAGCGCCAAAAGGTTTTCTTTGTCATGGGAATCATTACTGCATTTAGCAGCAGAAAGCGCAGGGATTCAATCAGAGAAACTTGGATGCCTCAAGGTTCGATTTTTTAGTGTGAAAATGTTCTCTCCCATTAACCTTGGATGGCTCTAGACCTAACCCAGTTTCCCAATNTGAACTTTTGACTTCAAGAAGACAAAGCCTTCACAAGGTAAGGAGTACCATTAGATCAAAGGCCCATTGGTATATGGTATCAATTAGGCCTGCATCTATCCAGGGTTTTTGCCTCGGTGGAAGTCATATACCAAAGATGTGTATGGTTGCAGGCACTTGTGTGGCGCTGTTGTTGGATTATGTGGGCATCTTGTGGTAATTTTAGCTCATTTAGTAAGGTTGTGTACATTTGATCCAATGTTGGAGCTTTGTGCGCTGGGTTGCCCATTTTAGGGTTATGGTTTGCTATTTGTACACCCCTCATGGATGCCAAATCATTTGCATTGTCACCCTTTTAAATCCTAGGAACCTTTCCAATTTTCTAATTTCGATCAACTAGGTCAACTTACACAACATATTATCTATTGTTCACACGCTTTGTTAGAATTCTCATATATGTAGCTATGTCTTGTAGTTGTACTTGAATGTGCTCTGATGAGCTATTTATGACTTGTTCATAGGTTTTGGACTACCACTGAATCAGTCAAAATGGATGAGGCTTTATCCGTGGACAAACATAAATCAGGAGAACTTCAGCCTGTTGTTAAGTGTGAGAAGAAGGCAAGTTGCATGGGTGATTTGTTTTTGGCCTCATGACCTCCACTTGTGTATCTAGATAATTTTACTGTGTTAATGCAGGAGGCTTCAGTCGAGGCAGGGGACATCCTTTCTCAAGTTTCCCAAACTCATGATGTAATCATGTAACTTTCTGCATCCAGCTTAATTTATACAGTTTCCAATTTTGTCGCAATCTTGCTATTGTTTTTCTCATTTCTTTCATCCTGAAACTTCAATTATGGATATATTTTTTGATGGTCTTATGCTGCACTCTTCTAACAAAATTTTCAGGACTTTAGACAAGACCATCTCTTCGCTGGAAATGCAGCTTGCTGCAGCTAGAGCTGCTAAAGCCGACAATGAGAAACGATCTTCAGAGAAAGCAAATCCAAGAAATGAGCAAATAAATGAGCGCCAAAAGGTTTTCTTTGTCATGGGAATCATTACTGCATTTAGCAGCAGAAAGCGCAGGGATTCAATCAGAGAAACTTGGATGCCTCAAGGTTCGATTTTTTAGTGTGAAAATGTTCTCTCCCATTAACCTTGGATGGCTCTAGACCTAACCCAGTTTCCCAATCTTTTGTTTTATAAACCAGGGAAGGATTTGAGGAAGCTGGAGAAAGAGAAGGGAATTGTAATACGTTTTGTAATAGGGCACAGGTAGCTTGTTCTTAAAGTACTTGAGATTGAAGATATGACTTGCTTAAGGGCCATGGTTTCTGTAAGTTGATGGATTGATCTATATGTTCTGCAGTGCAACACCAGGTGGAGTTTTAGATCGTGCTGTTGATGCCGAAGATGAACAACATAAAGATTTTTTGCGACTAGTGCGTTACTGTGTTATATTTCCAACTACCTACTACCGTAACATTGATTACCACATTGTTATACATGTTTCTACAAAAAATTATTAGCTTTCCAGTTGGTGGCTATTGTTCTTTAGATTTAACGTTAGGTCTATTTCCAGCTTCAAATGCAAATTAAAATGGACTATGTTTTGTTATCAAATATTCTAAACATATTTTGAGCTGGTTGCATCTTGCATGGTCTAATGGTCAGGAAGAGAACTTAATTCTTAGAACAGTTTGGAGAGCTTTCCTTAACGGCCAGAGTTTTATGGTTTTTGACAAAGCTCAATTCACATATTTAAATTTATATGTGGTTTCTCTGTTGCAGAACCATGTAGAAGGATACCATGAATTGTCCTCAAAAACCCAANTTCTTAACGGCCAGAGTTTTATGGTTTGTGACAAAGCTCAATTCACATATTTAAATTTATATGTGTTTTCTCTGTTGCAGAACCATGTAGAAGGATACCATGAATTGTCCTCAAAAACCCAAATCTACTTTTCAACAGCCGCTGCAAAGTGGGATGCTGACTTTTATATTAAAGTTGATGATGATGTGCATGTCAATCTTGGTAAGCATGATAATATCTCAACTCTCCAAAAGCCCGAACTCTTTATGGTCAGATGCAAATGTGGGGGGCGTTGATTTGATTAATAATCTTGACAGGTATAGTCGGTTCTATCTTGGCCCGTCATCAGTCAAAACCTCGTGTCTATATCGGTTGTATGAAGTCTGGACCTGTTTTGGTACAGAAGTAAGACCGTGAAATCTTGTGACATATTTTGAATTGCGGGTTACTCGTTTCATACTCTACCATGCATGCAGAGGAGTCAAGTATCACGAACCAGAATACTGGAAATTTGGAGAGGAGGGAAATAAGTACTTTAGGCATGCAACTGGACAAATATATGCGATCTCCAAAGATCTGGCGACCTATGTTTCAGCTAATCGGTAGATCCTTGTCTCAAGATATTTTCATGTTTTTTTGTAAATTTAATCTGTTTATTAATGAGGATTTTCTCTGTAGACATATACTTCATAGGTTTGCAAATGAAGATGTCTCTCTTGGTTCTTGGTTTATTGGTCTTGATGTTGAGCATATTGATGAACGAAGCCTGTGCTGTGGTACCCCACCAGGTATAATATTTTTCAATATGTACTTCAATTCTGTGAGTTGTCATCAATCTCACTCCGTGTGTCTTGATCTGTGAGAGCAGTCAAATATCTGCTCTCACAAAATTTTTATTCCACTGTAGTTATTTAGATTCAAGTTGGTATTCTTCAACATATTTGCAATTAACATTGATGTTTAAAGGCTAACTTGGACCAACAAGAGCCATTGATACACCAGTGACATAATTACTGGGACATAAGTGTAAAGAATCATATAAGAAACGTAGTGGAATTTTTTTTTAAAAAAAAAAATTCGATTCCTCAGTCCAAGGTTTATTCATGCTTAATACAAACCGGGAACCCTGATCAATGGAGAAGAGTAAGGGTTACCTCTTGAATTGTGTTTATAATATTCTTCAAAGTTTTTTTCAAGGAGTCTTGCTCTTTAAATTTAAATCTGATCACTCCAAGACTCACAATTGTTTGGCCTCTATTGTCACACGAATGGACAAATTTGAAGCAAGAGTGTGTAGTTATCATCCTCCTCCTCCTCTATGAGGGTATTTATAGAGCCTTAGAAGACCTCAGTCCTAATTTGATTCTAATTGCAATTATCCCATAATTACACAACGGCCCATTTTATTAACCATTAATTGTAACGCAAGCCGTAATTAACTCTTAATTAGGTTTTCACTTCAATTAACTCTTAATTGATTTTTTCTTATTTATCTCTTAATTTTCAATCTATTGTGTGTGACCCAATAAGTTCAAACATATCCGGTCGTAGGCATTAGACACTAACTTCAAATAGCATCTCAAATCGAAACTCATTCTAATTTTGTTTGAATTAGAACTCTTCTAATTCTTCCTTTATGAAGAACATTATATATTCATATTATTTTGTTCTTCGGGCTTCTAATAATCATAAATGATACCTAGTAGCATATCATAATTAACCCCGAATAGCACGAAGTAGGTAAATAATTCATTCAGTCTATAGTTATCATGGAATTCAAATCTTTCTATCATACAATGCCCCAATTGAATCACTAGGATATGGAATTACTATATTCTTAACATCTTGAGAAAATATCTTCTTAATTTATCCTCTATAGACTATATCATGTATATCAAAATAAAATAAAGCAGAAACATGATAAATACACTTGTCCTTTTATTTAATTAAATAATGAAATGTTACTAGTACAATCCCAAAATATCATCTGTATGATTGGTCTTAGCGTATACTACTAACATTAAGTTCCTCACAATACGAACTTTGCCTAGTGTATAAGTCTAATATGGAGTTTGTGCTTGGATTTATGTAAAGCTGAACCTAGCTAACATGCTAACATGTGTCTAGGTTTTGGACTTGGGGTTGGGACTGTTTTAAAATGAATCCCAACTTGACTTTTAGTTGGGTTGGGCCTAGGTTGAGTTGAGTTCTATGACAGCATACCAAACACGAATTCAATCAGCCATAAGCTTATAAAATGCACCATAATTATGCTTTTAGTGTCAAACACTAATGACTATATTTTAACAACCAAACATGTTTTACCGGAATTGATCGTCCATACTCTCTAACATAAATTCAGCAGCAGACGGAAAGTATGACTACTTTTAGTTGATGACAAATCCCAGTTCAGAAAAACAAAAGGGAAAATGTCGGTGATAATGTTTGTTAATTGGCTGACCTGACCATAAATGAGCTTGAATTGGACATTTCAAATCTTTGGTAAGTAGGGTTGGGACTTTGGGCAGTGAGCAACCTCATCAACTTTTCTTCTTTGGCTTGGACTGGCTGAATCCAATCCAAACCTATTGGTTGGTGTTGAAGCCTTGGTAGGGATATATATCTTTCTGCCTGTTTACACCATCATTATTGCCACTCTACATTTTCTGCTGATTTACTAAACAGAGTTAAGTATGTAGCAAAAGAATGCTAGTTCCCTGGAATTTTCTGCCCTAGCTAGATATAGTTTGGCATTTAAATGTTAGATCTAAAGAATATAACTCTGAGATTACTGTCAACCCCATAAAAAATAATAAATGGAGCCATGCATGTTCATCATGCCTTTTTTTTTTTTGTGTTTTTTGGTCTTGCAAATAGATTGTGAGTGGAAGGCTCAAGCAGGGAACCCTTGTGCGGCATCATTTGATTGGAGCTGTAGTGGCATCTGCAAATCGGTGGAGAGAATGGAGGAGGTTCACCAGCGCTGTGGAGAGGGGGATGGAGCAATCTGGCATACTAGTTTTTGAAACCACCTTCAATTGGTTGTATTATGTTTGTGCAATGTGTAATCATGTGAATGGTTAGAGCACACCATCTGCCCCATTTTTTCTCATTGTGTCTCGGGACGGCTGGTTGATCATTTAGTTTTTGACTGCTCACACGGACTCTGATTAGAGAAAAGAAATGAATGAATTCTTTAGTTTACAGTTGACTTATAGGTGTTTTATGTTTCTACTTCTAAAGCCTACCAACTCGACAGCCAAACCTAAATTTTATTTGCCAGGTATTCTACCCTAGAGCCAAATCCTTGTGTTCCTCTCAAAAGTTGTTAATGGTTTTGGGCTTTATCTTGTGTTGGCTGCATAGTGACCAAAGGAGAAAAAGACATTGCAGACTTGAATAAGAACCTAAAAGGTGCAGTGGGGGAATGGGATGGTGAGAATAGCTAAAGTAACTTGCNTAAAATCGAAACTCATTCTAATTTTGTTTGAATTAGAACTCTTCTAATTCTTCCTTTATGAAGAACATTATATATTCATATTATTCTGTTCTTCGGGCTTCTAATAATCATAAATGATACCTAGTAGCATATCATAATTAACCCCGAATAGCACGAAGTAGGTAAATAATTCATTCAGTCTATAGTTATCATGGAATTCAAATCTTTCTATCATACAATGCCCCAATTGAATCACTAGGATATGGAATTACTATATTCTTAACATCTTGAGAAAATAACTTCTTAATTTATCCTCTATAGACTATATCATGTATATCAAAATAAAATAAAGCAGAAACATGATAAATACACTTGTCCTTTTATTTAATTAAATAATGAAATGTTACTAGTACAATCCCAAAATATCATCTGTATGATTGGTCTTAGCGTATACTACTAACATTAAGTTCCTCACAATACGAACTTTGCCTAGTGTATAAGTCTAATATGGAGTTTGTGCTTGGATTTATGTAAAGCTGAACCTAGCTAACATGCTAACATGTGTCTAGGTTTTGGACTTGGGGTTGGGACTGTTTTAAAATGAATCCCAACTTGACCTTTAGTTGGGTTGGGCCTAGGTTGAGTTGAGTTCTATGACAGCATACCAAACACGAATTCAATCAGCCATAAGCTTATAAAATGCACCATAATTATGCTTTTAGTGTCAAACACTAATGACTATATTTTAACAACCAAACATGTTTTACCGGAATTGATCGTCCATACTCTCTAACATAAATTCAGCAGCAGACGGAAAGTATGACTACTTTTAGTTGATGACAAATCCCAGTTCAGAAAAACAAAAGGGAAAATGTCGGTGATAATGTTTGTTAATTGGCTGACCTGACCATAAATGAGCTTGAATTGGACATTTCAAATCTTTGGTAAGTAGGGTTGGGACTTTGGGCAGTGAGCAACCTCATCAACTTTTCTTCTTTGGCTTGGACTGGCTGAATCCAATCCAAACCTATTGGTTGGTGTTGAAGCCTTGGTAGGGATATATATCTTTCTGCCTGTTTACACCATCATTATTGCCACTCTACATTTTCTGCTGATTTACTAAACAGAGTTAAGTATGTAGCAAAAGAATGCTAGTTCCCTGGAATTTTCTGCCCTAGCTAGATATAGTTTGGCATTTAAATGTTAGATCTAAAGAACATAACTCTGAGATTACTGTCAACCCCATAAAAAATAATAAATGGAGCCATGCATGTTCATCATGCCTTTTTTTTTTTTTGTGTTTTTTGGTCTTGCAAATAGATTGTGAGTGGAAGGCTCAAGCAGGGAACCCTTGTGCGGCATCATTTGATTGGAGCTGTAGTGGCATCTGCAAATCGGTGGAGAGAATGGAGGAGGTTCACCAGCGCTGTGGAGAGGGGGATGGAGCAATCTGGCATACTAGTTTTTGNTTAACATATTAGTAAGCAATGATGTCTACATGAATCAGCATTAACAATGACTTATCATACATGGAGAGACTTTAGGTGGTCCTACGGCCTCCAAACTGACACGTGTGAAGATGGATTCGTTACAAAGGCCCGATAGGTGCCGAGGAGATAAATCGAAAGGTAACGGCTCGGAGGAGCCGAATAAGACAGTTGACACCGCATTTAATATGACTTGACTATTCATTTATGGCGATATGAGTGATGGTGACCAGACATTAATGGACGCCTGTATCTTCAGAGCCTAAGCTTATTATTATGATGACTAGGCATTAATGGCTACTATGCTTTATATATATGTTCGACTNAGGGAACCCTTGTGCGGCATCATTTGATTGGAGCTGTAGTGGCATCTGCAAATCGGTGGAGAGAATGGAGGAGGTTCACCAGCGCTGTGGAGAGGGGGATGGAGCAATCTGGCATACTAGTTTTTGAAACCACCTTCAATTGGTTGTATTATGTTTGTGCAATGTGTAATCATGTGAATGGTTAGAGCACACCATCTGCCCCATTTTTTCTCATTGTGTCTCGGGACGGCTGGTTGATCATTTAGTTTTTGACTGCTCACACGGACTCTGATTAGAGAAAAGAAATGAATGAATTCTTTAGTTTACAGTTGAATTATAGGTGTTTTATTTTTCTACTTCTAAAGCCTACCAACTCGACAGCCAAACCTAAATTTTATTTGCCAGGTATTCTACCCTAGAGCCAAATCCTTGTGTTCCTCTCAAAAGTTGTTAATGGTTTTGGGCTTTATCTTGTGTTGGCTGCATAGTGACCAAAGGAGAAAAAGACATTGCAGACTTGAATAAGAACCTAAAAGGTGCAGTGGGGGAATGGGATGGTGAGAATAGNCCTTGGCACTCATTGTTAATCCAGGTACAAATACCCCTCAGAAAAGTGAACACAGGTACGCAACATTGAACCAGAAATATTATATTCATTAGGCTTGAACCTCGAATCTTATACTGACTAAGCTTCGGAGGGGATATACCGGGTGTTCATCTAGCCCCTCTTTTTGACCCTATAATTGTTGCAGGTCTACCTAGTTGAAGGTCGCTATCTCAAACTATGACAGGAATTAACTTGTGTAATTTGGCGCCGTCTGTGGGAACTTGAGCATCTTTCCCCGTAGCGATCATCTAATAGTGAACACTCAATCTCAGGGCGAATGAGGAGCAAGTGTGCGTATAAGGAACATCAGGGTTGTCTAGTTTCCAATGGTCCCAAAACCAGGCCCCTTGAGCCAATCAGGCAGAGGGGAGCATTCCTCGCATCGAACGCTCTCTGTGGATCAAGGCCTTGGGGGGCACGACCTCTTGGCTCGTGATATCGTGGAGATGGTGGAGAAGTGGATGAGCAAACGAATTAAACAACTAGAGAAAGAGAATGCCAAGGTTCAGCAACGACTTGACGATTTTGAGCAGTCGGTGAGTGCTAGTGGGCGGAGCCTCAGCGGAAACTCCTGGGGTCCTAGGCAAAAGGCCCCCAGGAAAGGCTGGCGTGGGCGGTCGCCCGAGGAGCCTGACCGTCAAAGCGGGTGGTCGGCCCCCAAGGGGAAATCAGAATTGGGCCTAAAGGCGAACCTATCTCGATGGGACCTCTGCTGTGGGATACCAGAGGACACCAGGGCAGTTAAGTTCTAGGTAGAATCTACACCCAGAAGGCCGAGAGAAGGAAGGCTCCGAGGGGTCCCCGGGTGCTCCTCGGCGCACAATGCAAGCTCGAGCCCGTGGGTGATGCTGACGAAATCATCTCCCCGTTCGTTCGGGCTATCAAGGAGACCAAAATGCATAAAAAATTTACTGTCCAACGATTCAAAATCTATGATGGAAGGACATATCCCCAGGCCTACTTGCGATAGTACAAGCAGTTGATGTCCATCTACGACACCGATCAACGAGCTGTGCCGAGTTTTTTCCATGAGCTTGGGGGACATGGGCATGAAGTGGTGCGAGAACTTGGCTCCTGAGAGCGTCAAATCCTAAAAACAGTTGACGGAGCTCTTTTTAGCCCGATTCATCACCAGTAGTAAGAAGTCGAAGGATATTGACGCCCTATTGACATTTAGGCGGAAGGGAGGAAAGCCTCTTCGGTAATACGCCATGCAGTACTAGGAGGAGGTTAACGAGGTGGAAGCGTGTTCGGAGGCAATGACCGCAACATCATTTAGGCTAAGGGTGTCCCGGGATACCGATCTATACAAATCATTGACCAAGAAGGCTATGGTGGATATAAAAGACTTGATGACCCGGATCAACAAGTACGCCCAAGTGGAGGAAGAATCCAGCATCCTGAGAACAAAGTTCCAGCGCCGAGGAAAAGAGAAAAAGAATAACCACCCCGGAGGGCGGCACCCATTCCAACCCCGAATTGCTTGTCCTTCCAGGGGTGAACACGATCTTTAAAGAGCCTATTTACAAGATGCTAAACAAAATAAAAGACAAGCCCTACTTTAAATGGCCCCCTAGGATGCAAGGAGACTCATCGATGAGGGATTCAACTTCCCGTTGTTCCTATCATAAGGATATAGGCCATTTGACGGAGGATTGTAGGGTATATAAATCCTTCCTTGAGCAACTGGTACGAGAAGGGCACCTCGGGAAATTCATCGATAAAGGCCGGGGGATTAGCAAGAAAAGGGACCGAGGCATTTGCTAAAGTGGCAAGGCTGACATATAACTCCTTTCGTGCCAAGCTACAGAAGGTCTCTCAAGCTATAAGGGTGGAAGAGAGGGGTGAAGAGCGACCCCCCAAGAAGCCCCGGTACAATGCCGAGATTATTCAATTTTTTGACGCCGACTTGGGCGAGATAGTCCTCCCCCATGAAGATGCATTGGTGATCACTTTACGGGTCGACAAATTTGATGTCAAGAGGATCTTAGTAGACTCAGGTAGTTCTTCCGAGGTGATATATGACCACTTTTTTCTCAAAATGGGGTTCTCACAAGGAGATCTGAAACCTATGAAGACCCCCCTCATAGGTTTCAATGGTTCCACCGCCCACCCCCTAGGGAAGATCACTCTTGCAGTACGTGTGGGGATTGTTACTATCCCAGTTGAATTCGTAGTAATAGACTTTGACTTCCTATACAATGTCATTATGGGCAGGGCATGGTTGCATGTGATGAAGGCGGTCCACTCGTCTTATTATCAGAAGGTCAAGTTCCTTACCCTGCAGGGCATAATGGAAATTCAGGGTGATCAAGCGTTGGTAAAAAATTGTTTCTACACCACAGTTAAGACTAAAGTTAGCAGCCGAAGTCAAGAGCGT